GGGAGTAATCCAGCAATCAAATTTATTTACTCAAATGTGCGCACAAGATTATAGGTTTGTCCACATATTTGTATTGATCTTTCCACATTGACCTGTAGGTTTGGTTCCGTTTATTTGATTACGACAAAGCACCTGCCTATTAACTCTTCTGCCTGGAATCCGTACGAAAGCAGATTCCCCGAAGCTTTTGCACCTTCAAACACAAAATATAAAATCAGGTCATTTTTCATACACTTGTGCTCAAAAAACTGCAACAAACGGCAAAAGAAAAGGTACGAATGTAAAAGGAGAATTAAAACATACAATTTACATATGAGGTAGAGGTTGCATTACCGAATGCAAATATGCAACTAAAATCAGCATAAAACGCAATCCCGTAGTCACATCGCAACGCCTTAAAAAGGTGGCACCCCAGACTCCTATACGTCACTTATTTTTATGCTTTTCACTGTATTTATGCCAAATATGGGTAGAATTTGTCTCAAGAATTTATCACAAGGAAAATCTACTTCTTCAAAGTTATGCCATTGTTTGTGCTTTATCCCATGACATCAGATGGCGTCACATGAACGTCACTCCAAAGATATGCCATTACTGACGATTCTATTCAAGTCAACAGATGGCGCCACAAAGGCGTCGTATTTCTTTCTCTTATGAGATCCGCGCCCAGTGCTATGAGACTTTCCGCTTGTTCGGATTTTTTCCCTCATCTTTATGCCATTAGAGACTTAAGAAATATAGACTGGTAAAGACCTCAACAGGCCACATGACATTTACACGAATGATGATCTGTGACCTAGACGTCAGTTCGCGTATAGCCATAGTTCCAAGCACTCTCCATGAGCTCCGACATCTATTGTTACAGAACGGGAGCTATTACCACAATAAGCGATCAGTGACACTATTGTCAATTTGTCTCTCCGTTACCAAGCATGCATTACAACTAAGAGCGTACCATACCCGGTATTAGCGCGATGTTTTCATTACGCATTCTTCCGACCCATTTGGTCTTTCGAGATGTCATGGTCCTAACGCATGCGTTTCCTGAATTTAATAGATTTTGTTTCATTCCGTGTTTTGCCTTCGTTGCTTATGTTTTGAGTTGGAGTGTGTTTTTATACTGTGTAAATGTATGAAACATTCCAAATATATGAGAAAATTTACTGCGAATTTTATTTTGCTGCAAAGGAAATACGTAAATGTAAATATTAAAGCTACGTAAAGTGTACGTTTAAATTGTCTTAGATCTTGAATAGAATTCTATCGATCTCCTATTTAAAAATTGGTTTATTGTGACGTAAAAGCAGGATTATAAGTGTTTCTTTATTTTGCCGTATTCTTCTATGCATTACACTTATTAGCCCGAAGGAGGTTAGCCCCGAAAGGCTATTCATTTCGCTTTGGCATTTTGTGGCGTTTGACTATAAACGGCGTTTCACTTTTCAAATTGTTGGCACCCAATATTATCGCCCTCTGTTATGTTTAAAGAAAACAAATAATGAAGAATCTGCATATGTTTCTCCCATTGTAATAAAACAAAGGTACCTAGAGACATCCAATTTTGAATAACGTGGTCTTCCATTGGAATATGGGCATCTGGAAACCAAATTCAGAATTTGTAATTTTTTTTAAATCTATTTCCTATTTTGTAAATCATTTGTGAGTTTTTAGTTAAAAAACTCAACGATTTCTAAGCGAGCAATTGGAGCACTGTGTACGAGGGGAAAAACAGTTTTATCTCCAGCGCGAGAGACTGTGTATTGGAAATTCTAAAGAAATGCTCTTTTAAAATTATTTTGTGATATTGCTGTTGATTTGAATTTAAGTGTGAACAACAGGATATTTAATAAATAAAGGTAACACATAAAACGCTAAAAAAAAAAAAAAAAAAAAAAAAAAAAAAAAAAAAAAAAAACTTTCTGAAAACTTTCAGATTTTTTTTTTTTTTTTTTTTTTTTTATTTAAATTTATTGATTGGAGCTATTTATTCAGCTTCCTTCCGTTTTCTTTTCTTCTTTCCTTTTATTAGCTATTTTTAATTGACATGTTGTATGGATTTTTTTTTTCCGAATAAATTTTCATTTAAAAGTTAAAGATATAACTGGCATTACATTTGGTTGAAGCAAAGATGTCTTTGTCTACGTTATTTCACCATGCAGCATTTCACAAACTATACAAAAAATTCATCTAAAAACCACAAAGACTCTTATCAACAGTCTTGTCACAGACATAAAATCCTACTTTGTGTACCTCATTCCCGAAGATCCCAGGTGACATTTTGCATAATGACTACTAAGTAAGCTGTTACTTGGGAGACATGTTCCAACAGAATTGTCTTCTTTCAAAGGTGAATCATAGCTTCAGTTCCCTTTCATTCCTTTAAAATGTGCCAAGGAATGAGAAATAAAAGACTGCTGTGGAGACCGTAGTTAAGGCAGATGAATTCAAAATAGCCCAATCTATTATACATGATTTATCCATACAATTCCGAAGTTCCTATTACTAAATTAAAAGGTTTTCACACACCCCTCCGTCTTGAATGAAATAGGGATGTTTAGTTCTCGTGATTTTTGATATCACTGACACAGGATTGGTTTAAACAATTAAAAAAAAAATAAATAAATAAAGACAAAAAGAGCATATCTGAAATTCTTATTAAAAATTGTCAAGAAATCAGAAAGCTGTTTGGCTAAACACATTAACTATACTTATTAATACCTCCAAGCTATATCAACAGCACCTCGTCAGCCATCGGTATTATGGTGAAAATATGTGTGCCACTTAAGAGTTTATGGTTTTCCAAATGGTTAATAAGAATCCGTTTCCCTTCGAAAGTCTTTATTTCTCTTATGCATTCCTCATCCCCCCCCGCGTGTTTTGTATATTTGAACAGCTAAACCAATCAATCAATATTGCAATGTAAAACTAGAATTACTTGATCGGATTAGCGCTTATTAGTTTTTCACAAAAAGTGTTCACTATCATAAGAGGGGAAGAATAATATTTTTCTGCCTCATAACGCGCAGTTTACATGTTGGAATGCACTAGTTAGAATGCATTAGAACATTAAAAGAAAGTATGCATATAATTTAACAACACATTCTTTAAATTTCTAAGGTTAGAAATCTTTTTGAAAGAGTGAAATGGTTTGTGACATCAGGATAGATAAGTAAACACGTTAATTAAATTATTCAAAAGGACAATCTTCTAAATATAGAAGAAGAAAACGAACAAAGTTATCTTTTAAATTAGTAACATTTTGAAAATTGTTCTTGTCTATTCTTCCGAAGACTATTGCAATAGCATTCCGAAATCTCTAAATAAATGTCCGCTATGTTGTGACCAGACTTGAAAATATCTGTGTTGTTAACAGAGATTTTCTTGTTATGTTGCGCTGCCACAGTTTTGCTGGCTACATAAAGCAGTCGTTTATATGCCTAAGATGGAAAAGGAAATTTTCTTCTTTATTGTTGCAAGTGTTTGTCAGCTTGAAATTGTGCAAAACACACCACGGTTGTCTATGTATAATACGGAAACCACCAGTTGAGGGCTTTTCCTGGAAATTACATCGCAGTTTTGCTGTTGCATAATGTAATTCTATGGAAATAGCTGCGTAATTTTACTCTTTCTCGGATTATTTTATCATAAAAGAACCAGATAGCACTTTAGAGATTCTAAAGCAAACAAGAATCAACATAATTGTATAAAAAAAATCTTCGACTCTGTCTTGCAAATTTATAAAAATTGCACTGATTCTTGTTAGCTTCGGTATCTTGAAAATGTTTTCGTCACCGTATTGGTTTAACTAATGTTGAATCTTATATATAGTCTTTTTATTGCTTTCAAAATATGTAGATTTTCATTTGCATATTGTATTTATAAACTTAGAATATATCTATTCTATTGCATTCCATGCCATTTCTTAAATTATACTGGTTTCCCCCTCAATTGCTCAATGCTTTTTTCTAACACACATTTTCCCACTTTGCTGCGGCCCACCAGCGGCCGAGCGGTAAAGTCGCTGAACACTGGTAGTTCGGTCCGAGGTTCGAATCCCACGAACGGGCTGGCTGCATGGGTGTTTTCCGTGGTTTTCCCCATGCGTAACGTGTGTACGAGCCAGTTTCCCTTAGAAAGTCCTCCACGAAGGCATCCCTTCCCTTAGGCAGATAGCCCTAGTGTGCTTTGCCATAATTAAATACACCACCCACTTTGCTGCGCGGTGCTACAGTCTTGTTGGTCACAAATATTTGCGTGTATGACCCTACGCAGGGAAAGGGTTTCTTTCTTCTTTATTGCTGCACGTGTTTCTTTGCTTGAATTGCTCAAAACATATGAAGGTTGTCTGTCTAAAAGAGGAAAGCCCCAACTGAGAGCTTTCCATGGAAACTGGATCTTAGTTAGCTATTGCAGTTGATTTAAATACAATTCTAAGGAAAAAGCTGCGAAATTTTATTTCTTTCTCAAATTATTCTAAAATAAAAAACATAACAGCAGATACCAAAACAAACAAGAATCAGCATAATTGTCTATTAAACTATGTCTAATAAAACTTGCAAAATAGTCCTGCAATTGCGTTGATTATTTTCAGATTCATCATCTTCAACATTTAATTTTCGCCGTGTTTTTTAAATTAAAATAGCGTTTGAGAATTTTTTTTCTTCCCCCCCCCCAAATCTGCAAATTTTTATTTTTGTATTGTTTTGCTTTTTTAAACTTAGAATATATCCATTTCATTATTAATGACTCTTTGTATTTTTATAAATAATTAAAAATGTTTGCAGAAAAAAAAAGCAAATATTGTTTCAATGTTCAATAATAAATTTTAAAAAACTGCTCTTTCATGGAAGAAGAGAAAATAAAGACTAGTCTTTTATCCTTTTTTTATTAAATTTTAAACTTTAGTAATTTCTACATAATTAGAAATATCACAACAAGTCCGATCTCGTAAACGTAACTTTTACGCATATGCCAATCAATGGTATTACGTCATATTCCTATTATTCTTTAAGTTGTAGCCGTCTTACTAATAACTGTGGTAATCCGAGCTGAGACGCATCTCTTTCTACATTTCTAACATTTTTTCTGATAGTTATATTGCAAAGGTTTACTAAGCTAAGACACTGCTTCGATTTATGTATAATATAATTTAACAGCTGAGTGGTTCGTTCATTTAAAATTCCAGATCTTCTCCACAGTTCCAAAGTAGCTTCCCAATCTACGGATCGTAAATTAGCACCGGATATGATGAGTGTATCAACTAATCTCTGGCTTCCGTTGTAAAATGCTAATTGCAATGGGGTATCACCAAAATTGTCACATCTGTCGATGTCACATCCAGAAATAATAAGTTTCCGAACTACATTTTCAAGCTCTGCCTGAACAGCAACATGAAGAGCAGTTCTACCTTCGGAATCAGTGGCATTAACATCGCATCCATGGTCTATGAACAGCATACACAAATCTATATGTGGATTATGTTGACTTATAGTGGAATTTTCATCAACTTGACACAATTCTAAAGCAAGTCTCAGTGATGATCCGAAAGTACGGTGGCCATAGTTAATCTGCGAAAGAAAGAGGATATAAAAATTCCATATAAATTATAATATTTGAATAAAAAGGGATGCAAAAGGATACAGACAGTTAATTAACGAAATAATCCCCCCTTAAAAATTATCTTAATCTATATAAAGGCTTAATTGTGAGAATTCTTATGAAATCAGGTATAGAAGAAGTATTTCCGAAAAAGCAGTCTGTTGAATTACTGAATAAAATACTAAGGCAACATTTCCTATACTCATCTTTAAGAAGATAATGTTCTATAAAAAATTTGTTTTATTGTATATATATATATATGTATGTATGTATTTGTTTATTTATTTATTTAAAATTTTACTGTTAATTTTCTCTTTACGATTATCGCCTAGAAAATGAAGGGCTAAAACTATTATAAATTGAACTTCTGTAAGAATTTATCTAGAAGATTCAGAATATTATCAGAAAATTACCAGTAGAAGTTTTAATTATAAAGGAATGCCTATGAAAAGTACTAATTAATACATATTAAGGAAAAATATATTAATATATATAAAAGGAAATTTAATTATTAATGATCCCATAGAATAATGTGAACTTTTCAGGGGAAATTAGTCGTCCTCCGTTAACTTCAACAATTCATGTGCTATTGGAATTAGATGAGATCAGCAATAATTGAATTTCTTTTTATACGTAATTGTGTATTTTTCGTTTCATATGTATTAATTAGTACTTAACTTTTAATACGCATTCCATTCCATTTAAATTTTTACTGGTAATTTTTTCTCATAATTTTCTCCATCTTCTGTACAAATATTTTATAAGTTCAATTACAGTAGCTTTAGCTCTTCATTTCCTAAGGGTTAACCTTAAATAAAAATTTTAACTTGTAGACTTAGCAGCGATAGCTCTAGTTTCTTTCTCACATCGAGCGGCCAAATTTTGCATATAGGTACGTGGTTTTCTATACTCCACACGAACATGTGCACCTGGGATCTCGAATTTAGAATTTAAGTTTCATTTATTTCCTATTTTGTTTAAATTTAATGAATTGTTTATTAACAAATTCAGCGATTTGAAAGCTAGCATTGCACACAGGTAGAAATAAAATATTTTTAACTTCAGGTAGACGGTATCTGTTGCCATTTGAAAAAATATAAGATATTTATTTTCAGTTGTAATTAACAAATTCGACTATTGGAAAATAATGTGTTGCCACTACCAGAAATAACACTCTTTTATCTTCCACGCAACAGTTTACCATTCGATAAAGTTTGCGATATTTAACTTTAGGAGATATTTCTGTGTAAATATATCAGCCCATAGTTTTTCAATATATGTTTTCTCTTCCCGTAAAAAAAGGAAAAGCAAAATAACGTTTTTTAGAAGAATCTAACATCGCACTGAACTTTATATAGCTTAAAGGTGTTTCAATTCCAATATTTGTCAAATCCGGAAATTCCAAACTTGCGAAAGTAAAAAAATCCGAAATTCCTTTTATATTTACGCTACAATCACCCATTAATGTTACTGTTGCGTGCGTACGGGCTCGTAATAGATTGAATGCATACGGAATTGATGATAGCTACATTTTCCGTCCGTCTATAAGTTACGCCGGCCATTACTGTTCATACTGCCTCGTTTGTAGTGCAGATTCAAAAGGGACGCTTTAGAGGTTTAGGAGGAGGGCCTCGTCCGAAAAATCGGTTTCGGTCTCCCATAGCTCGTCCACTTAGGATAATTCAGCGCAACATAAATGGAATTTCGGCCAATGCGGCGAGAGTAAACTTGATCAGATTCTGTAACTGACTGAGGAGCAAAAACCACAAATTATTGCCCTCCAAGAAACAGAGTTAAGGGAAACTCATAAAATTAAAGCAACAATCTATAATATTGGTAGAGAAGATAAGCATGGCAAAGGTGCTGGTGGTCTTGCTTTTCTTATCAGGGACATCAACTTTGTCCGCAAAAGGGTCTACCCTCCAACTAATTCCAACCTGGAGCTGCAAAGTATTACTGTTATGCGGAGAGGTTACCCTTATGTGGAAAGATCCCTTACCAATTATAATTTATACCATTCATCCAACCACAAAAATTTGTCCAATGGTTTTGAAAATCTACTTGATGACACTTCAATATTTCTGGGGGTCTTAAAGCATCCAATATGGAGATGCTCAACCCCTAACCAGAGAGGACTAGATCTCATACATATGGTAGACGATGCCGGTTTTATGTTCCTTAACGATGGCCCTTTAACCCATTTGTCTTTTAGTTATAATAAATTTGAAGCCCTCGATAGCTCTATTGTAAGCCCTATTGTATTTTCCAGCTGCACTTGGAACATATTAAAAGTATTGGAAGCAACCACTTGCCATTCCTAATTGCAATAAATAAGCAACAGAGTACCTTTTTCAATTGTAAAAAATACTGGAACTTTGGGCAAGGCGGACTAGCCGTTCTCTGGTGGACGCAAAGATTGATTTTAAGCCATGTACTTCTAATCTTGAGTCAAATTGGCGATCTTTTAAGACCCTGCGCTTTGATGCAGCAAAAAAAAAAAAAAAGACTATTTCTAGAGGAAATATAAAGCAATACATTCCTCAATATTCCTATAATTCTTCTCTTTTACTGCCTTTGATTTAGAAAAGAGAAAATCTGCATAAAATTATGCACAATGGCAATACTGACCAGATTATAATTGAATTGAACAAAATCAACACAGAAATAAAGCTGACCTACGCTTTGCTTAAAAGAAGAAACTGGTTGGACCTATGTAAGAGACTCGATGCCAGATCTTCCAACTCGAAACTATGGAACTTGGTCAAAAATATAAGTACAGACCAACAGAAGACAGAGAAATGTAATACTATCCTGGATCGGGACAGGAATATTTCTAAGGACGGAAGAACTGCAGCTATTTTACTTGGAACGTACTATCAGAAGTTAAGTAAATTAACTTTTACTGCTGTAGGCAAGACAATAGAGAAAATGTCTCGAAATCTTGCCCATGGTGTACGCAGTTCAGTATCAAGCGATATTTTATTTGGTAAAATCTTCTTTATACATGAGCTGTAGATGAAAATGATCTTGACCTGACTAAATAAATTTCCTGGACCTAATGGCATCCACGGCCAGATGCTTAGTCACCTCGGCACTGGTCCAAGGGAAAGACTTTTAAACATCATTAATCAACCTTGGAATCTCGGGCGACTGCCGAGGGAATGGAAAATGTCATTAGAGTTCCTATCAAAAAATGAGGGCAAGTGGAGGGATCTCTCGATAATTATAGGTCCATTCCTCTGAGTTGTATATCCTGCAAAGTTATGGATAAAATGGCCCAGAAATAATTGCTTTATCATCTTGACAACCACGACCTTTTCGCAAAGGAACAGTATGCATTCAGAACGGATCACAATACAACAGATCAGGTTATCTGTCTCTGCCAGAAGACAATATTCAGAAGACAGAAGATCAGAAATGCTCAAAACCTGCGTCCGACAAATCATACAGTAGCAATTTTTCTGGACCTGTCGGAAGCTTTTGACAGGGTCTGGAAATATAAATTGATTATTAAACTATACAACGTTTTTGGTATTAATGGAAAGGCTTTATCTTGAATCTATGATTTCTTGAAAGACAAACTGTTCAGAGTGAAGCTCAATACTACAGTGTCAAATAGCTTTAAGATGAGTCAGGGAGTATCTCAGGACTCAGAGTTGAGCCCTATTCTTTTCTCCCTGTATTTGGATGGTGCTGAAATGGTAATAAAGGTGAGATGTGAAGTCGGTATATATACAGATCATATTGCTTTCTGGAGATATGTCTCAGATGTGAATAAAATTGAGTCTTACATTAATTTTACCCTAGCAGACACCAGGAGCTTTTCAAAAGATCATAAGCTGACTTTTGATCCAACTAAATCTATTGTCAGCTTTTTTACTACTAATAAGCGGTTGTATAAATATCAACCAAAAATTTTTATCGTTGATCTACCTCTCAAATTCGAGAGGCATCCTAAATATCTTGGTTTTACTCTAGACTCTGAATTTACTAGCAACAAGCATGTGGAGGCATTAGTGCTGAAATGTAGGAAACGGCTTAGTATACTGAAATATATATCGGGACGAGATTGGGGTGCTGACGCAGGAACTAAGAGCTACTTATTTGGCTATTATGCGTCCCATCTTGGAATGCGGCCTTCCTATTTACTGTTCTGCGTCTACAACTAACAGCCAGAAATTAAAGAGAATGGATCTTAGTCCCTCTTGTATGATAACTAGCTTACCTAACAGCTGCCCAAATGATATTGTGTTGTTTGAAGCGAACCTTCAGCCTCTGAGTCTCAGAAAGAACTCGAGCCTAGTGGAGTATTACAAGAAACTTTACAGCTACGGTTCCCAAAATCGTACCTCAGATTTATCGTGGCATTGGCATAATAACAAAAAGAAACACAGCCTGTTTAGTCAGATGGAGAACAGAAACTTACTTGATCCTACGGTAGAACAATGCTACTTGAAGCAATGTATTGTATTTCTTAGTGGCCATTTAAGAAGTCTCGCTTTCTAGGGAGGTGAAGAAACACACCCGATTTGTCCGAAATGTAATAATGAGCATGCTTCTCCACATATCCTTAGGTGTCTGGATTTGTCCTGCGACAACCTGATTAAGTCTTCCATGCTAGTTTATGACTTTTGAAGGGGAATAAACTCGTAGACCTCGTATAACAGAAGCTGGACTCGAGGATTAGTAACAACAAGTCTGTGATATTGTGAAGAGTTGTACGAATATCTTTGTAGAAAGTTCCAAATCACTAAAATGTTTCATTTGATTAACCTAATATCGGATCTGTGTGCATTCAATCTATTGCGAACCACTACGCGAAAACGACTTACTCATTTTCCACGATGGTACTGAATTTTCCTGCGTATTTTAACCTTTGAGAGTGTTTTATGGCAGTCTTATAAATGCAAAATCTGACCCGAAAAATTTCATCAAAGATATAGCATATGATAATTTACATATTAACTCTTGAAATTGATTTAATTAGTTTGTACACTCCTAAAATTTTAAATTTGCGGGCTGCTAAACTTGTGAAGAAAAATAGGATCAAACATTTATTTGATAAAATATTTTTGATTCATTACCAAAAAAATGGGTTGTAGTTGCTTTGATTTGTATTAAATTCCTTTGTCAAAATGTAAATATTGAATTGATTAATGATATCCGGATAAAGACATATATTGTTTAGAAATCAATATGAAACATTTAGCATTTAAGAGCACTTATTAGATTTCGTTACTTACATTTGCGCCAGCCTCTAAGAGAAGCGATGCAATGGGGACTGCATATTCTGCCTTATTAGTTAATAGAACATTCAGCAGAGGATGCCTTTTGTCGTCTTTTGCACCCACACTGCTGCCTTGCGACAAAAGAAACTGAACAACATCTGGGCAATTAAATCCACAAGCTACGTCTAAAGGTGTATGTCCCAACTTATCAGGAAGGTCAAGAATATATGCCGGCGATTTCTCAGTTAGGAACTTGATGATTTCTGAAAAATAATGCATGCGTTAGCTTTAAGCATATAGTAGAAAATAAAATACGAAAATAATCATCGATATTAGTTACAAATAGGAATCGGATAGAAATATTTTCTCACTTTGTACAATTAAAATTATCTGTTGAGGAAATTCTTGAACAAAATATATGTCTTATATGTTCAAATAGAAGTTACTTGCATAATGATTTTAAGAAGAAAACCTAGGTAGATTATAGGCAGAGTACATAGAGACTTAGATACAAGCTGATTATTCCTAGGATTTTGGATTCTACTTCTACTCCGATTAGAGTAGTTTACAGTTTTGAACGCAAGAAGGGCACTTCCCACACGATGTCGTTTAGATTTTAATACTATTTAGTGGCGAGGGGGGGGTATTAAAGTGGTGTAAAAGTTTAAAAAGATAAAATATCGCACATAACAATTCAGCAACAAAATGACGTAGCCGTTCACATTTTTTTAAGGAGTAGTGGCACCTGCGCTGGCATCTGTTGCCTGGTATGCAAAATTAACTTTCAGAACTAACAGATGAGTAACTGAAGTTTTAATAAATCAAGGTTTCATTTATAACTTATAAAATACGTTAATTTGTCCTATAACTTAACGAGAACACGAGATTAGAAAATTCCTTTTAGGAAACCTTTTTACAAATTTTTGTCACGAACAAATCGTGGGTCGCCATTAGTAAATTTATGAACATAACAAAGTGTTTCTTTATCAATGCATAAGAATTATTACAGCTTATTTAGGCGTCCATTAATATAATATTGGCGATATCAAATTGTAGATTATTTTTTCTAAGCAGAATTAATCAACCTCTTGTTAACTTGACATTGAATTGCAAGGTAAATTATTTTCATTTTCTTCAGTTTATTAATTATTTCATGCTTTCTGAAAACAGTTATACAAATGCTTTATTTTTGTACAAATGATCTGTCATCAATTGAACAGTTCAATTTAAATACCGATTTTCATTAATGCACAATCACTCTTTTATTTTCGAAGATTCTATGATCATCTACAATTTTTCTTAAAATATATTCTTTTTAGTTTCACGTTCATATTTATGTATATTATCTGCGATAAAAAATATTGTATCTCATTTTGATCTTAGACTATCTTTGATAGCTATTTCACGAACTTCCCAGTTCTGCTAAACAATAATTACTATTATGGAGTTTTTTTTTTTTTTTTTTTCCCAGTCGAATTTGTGTTACCTATCTCGCATGAGTTGTATTTTAAAGACCGATAAAAGAATATAATATTATATTTCACATTCAAAATAAGATAATCAGCTTTTAAAAGCAAATTCTGATGGAAGTTATACAGACGTTTATAGTGGGAGCAGATAAATCGCTATTACGAGCACATTATTACTATTACGAGTGATTTGCCATTTCTAAGAGATATCAATCAATCCTAATAATATACTAAGGGATCAGTATAAGCCACAAAGGGCAACTGTAAAGATGTCGGAAATTCTTTCAACAGCAAGAATGCAAGGTTCGCAAAGGAAAAGAAAGGACGCCTTAAATGGACAGACGTCCTTTCTTTTCCTTTCCAGACAGGCGAACAAGACAGAAAACAACCAAAGCGTGACGAGTTTAAAGGGGAAAAAACTCATGAACAGAGGAAGGCCAGGACCAAGGTCCGTACAGTGAAAAGGTTCGCGCATTCGGAAACTGAGGCATAGAGCGCATGCGTCAAGTCTCAACGTATGACGTCACAGGGCGACCAGACGAGGCCTACGTGATATACGAGTCTAAGGGAAACGCCAAGTCATTGCTTTCGAATGCTGAACTCCTGTGAAGTCCTCTGTCAGTGAAAATATTTTCTTCAAGGTTAGTAAAATTTCAGTACTTTTGTTTTATTTTAATGTTACGTAATATTCACTTCTGTTTTATACTATCAAATATTTTATCTTCAGTACTAATTGTAAAATAACAAGCTTAAGTTCAGAGCTTGTTTATAGACGAATTTTGTATATCTATTTGTGCCAAAACAGCTTAAATTACAGAATAAAGATTACAAAAATGTGTATATATGTGAAATTACAATTTTTTTTTTTTTTAAAAAAAAAACAAAATATAAACATGTCTAGTATTTCCGCGCATTAGTTGTTAAAAAATTATCAGTAAAGACATAAAGTAAGAAATTTACTTTTCACAAAGACCAAAAGGTGAAATTCGTAATTAATAAATTTCAAATAATTCTTTAAATGCATAAAAGAATTTTAAAAAGTTTATAAAAAAGTATTTAAAAAATGTTTAAAAAGTTACATATATACATATTAATGTAATATAACATAGTTTTCTATATCAAAAAGGTTAAAATATTTACTGACTGAATTTTTTATATTATATTATGGAATGCTTACAGTGCAGAAAAACGATTCTGAAATTCTTTCTTTTGTTCAATTTTACTAGATGCCTGGAATGCGATGTGCCGTTGCTCTTTGCAACAACAGTTTAGAAAAAACTAAAAATTTATCTGAGCGCATAGTTTATCATAAATTTCCAAGTGATCCTACATTAAGAAGGAAGTGGATAAATCTTTGCCGTCGAGAAGATAAATGGAATGCAAATTCTTCTAGGATATGTTCTGCCCATTTTACTGCGTATAAAACTGAAAGAAGATCCAAATTGTATTTCGTCGTGGATACAACATCTGTCTCATGGAGGACTAATTCAACCCTCTGAAGAGTGGAAAACGCAAGGTCCATAAAATGGAAGAACAATTTTTAATTTTCAACGGTTCCACTTTAAGAAAGGGAGAAAATATTATAAAGGACTTTGTCAAAACCCTTAAACAGCAGTTTTCCGACACAGATGAAAACTTACTTAAAGTCCTTTGCTAGAATTTCGAACTTTCATATCGATTAAGGACTTTAAATCAAAAATTAGTTAATAAAAAATATTCGAAAGCACAAAAAAGAAGACTAAATTCAGTCGACGAAAACTGTGAACATAACGCGGAAATGAAAAAAAATAAATTGAAGAAAATAATTTCGTAATAATAAAAAAAAATTATTTCTTTAACTGAATATAAATTCGAGCTATCTTTTGTTTTGTTATCTTAGGTGCGCTATTTTTTTAGCCTAACCATTGTAAAGGAATACTTAAAATTTTTCTTCAAGCAAAGCTTAGCTGCGGAAAGAAAAAATGGTGTATCCAGCATATCTGTTGAAAGAAATATTTTTTATTCAAACAGAACTGATCCAAATTACGTAACTAGACTAAAATTTTAGACGTGCAAATACCTGGTTACTTTTGGAAAGAAAAATATATTTTGTATTACGTATTATCTGATATATATATATTTTTTTAAACATTCATCTCATAATATTGTATATATTATATATATATATATAAATGCATATATCTTAGTGTAAAATATTATATGTATATATATAATACATCTTCATAATGTAAAATAAATAAATAAAAATATTTTTGATTCTGAAAAAGCGAATTGTGACATAAAAAAATCTGCAACTACAAAAATCTATTTTGTTTTTTTACAATAGCATTTGCGAATTCATGTGCCAGTTCCTTATTCAGTATGATATTTGAATTAGCTTAGATTATGTTTAGAATTTAATAAATATAGCCACTAAACTTATGCAATTTACAGCACATAATTTGGGTTCTGAACTTAATTTGCCCTCCGTTTAAATTATTCAAAGTTTATTTTTATAAGATATCTTTATATACTGTCTTAAAAATTATACGCTCAAGTATAAAATATGTCAAAGAAATAAGGGTATGTACAATGCAAATTTATTTTTTTCAGGTTAGTGTTCATTCATTGATTTGCGTATTTATTCGATACGTTTAGTTTTAAATATATATTTCAAAAGTCGTATGTATGTCGATAAAAAATGTTTATTAGATATTTATACATGTTAAATTATGATTTAGTTAATATTCTTCTTTAACATTTTAATGTAAACACCTAGCAAATAAGAACAGTCAAATAAGCGCAAATTCGTTTCAAGCGCCTACCGTAGTATCTACCCTCGTAGTATGAGAGAAAGCAACAGAGGTCTCCCTGTGACGTCACGATGTGGTTGACCATTCAAACGCGTTTTTCCTCTTATGCGCGAACCTTTTCACTGTACGGACCTTGGGCTAGGACGATCAAAAAAGAAATGTTACAGAAGGAAAGGAAAGGTACACAACTCCAGCAAGATACAGTGATCAGTAATGGCTGGTAGATGGTCAATGAGTAACCGGCTGCCAACAGAAGGTGGCAGCAATCAGGACTAACTGGGCAGCAATGGGAAGAAGTTATTACGATCAACCAAGAAAGAATTCACGTAGCAAACTGCTGACGGAGGATGAACCACTGCAGTGGAGGAAGCTCTAAAAGAACTAGAGTTCTTTGCCAAAGGTGAATCCAAGTGCAAGGAATCCACCGGCGACTTCAGAATTTCCCCAAAGCGAGAAGCCCACACGTATATAGAAAGAGCTCAAGAAGCACAAAATTCCAGTTCGCGCAAAAGGAAATTTACTAACTTACCGAGGGATAACTGCGGTTCCTTCGTATATAGCTATGGCTATGTTTCTCATAGAACTGTGGAAAATACCTAAGTTTATTCTATATGTGTTTCTTAAGTTTAATAGCATAGGAAGTGTTATACTTGACCATGAAACAAAACTGTCCATAGAACATAGGAAAAAAGACGCATCTGATAGTACGAATATTAGAAGAGCATATTATAGCAGTAGGAGATTATATTTATCCACAATATCACATAATGGGAAAAAAAAAACCTGCTAAAAATGCTTTTCCACCCCCCCCCAAAAAAAAAACCTGCACACAGAAACCTGGGAAAACGTTATTCGAAAATAAATCTTCTCTGCTACAAAACAAAAATTTGGAAAAAATATCATTGCCGCAAAATAAAAAAGAATCTGAAAAAAAAAATCTTCGTTGCCACGAAAACGGAGCTTTGGGAAAACATTACGTAATTCAACATGCCTGTGTCACTTTCAGATGTCCCGTGGT